TATTACATAAACTTTAATTTAAGATATATCGTCGCCATCGTGCCAAAAGTAAACAAGTGCAAAACCATGTTTAAATTCAATTTTTCATCTCTATACATGTGTGGAAAAAGTGTGTGATATGATGAATAGTTTAGGAACCTCTTAGTACATCATTTTGACTAACTTGATTTTAGCATAAATTGAGCCAGTAAAAACTGACTATGTTACTTGGTAGTTTTTGTGAGTAGAAATAACAACTTTTTTGTCCAAAAGTTTATCACTTTTTGTAAAACTATAAAATTATTTTTTCGCACATGACCATATGGCCATATCTGAAATAAAATCTCACATTGAAAAATTTCCTACAATGGAATCTCACTATTGTAGAGTAACTTCTAAACGTGAATACTTAGATTCTACACTGTCTATATCTAAAATGTAAGAGATCTATCTACAGGATTATAAGGGAAAAAATGAGATCATAGTTATTTTGTTTGTTGTGTCGTGTGTCGAAAAATATTTTGTGAGCAATATAATTTGAGTTTTTATAAGCCAAAAAAAGATCAATGTCTTTTATGTGAAAAATTTAAGAAATCAGACAAACTACATAAACAAAAAATATTCGTGGAGTATGTCGTAATATAATCGTCATTATTATTTATATGGGATAACACTAAAATACCCTGTTCATGTACTCAACAATGCTATCTTTTTAGTATTTATTAATATATTCTTTTTCATTTCAAATACTCACCACTACTATCCATAGAAATGGTTCATTTTAACTTGTTTCATTATATATTATATTCTTACAAAGACATGATCCTTATCGAACAAAAATTTAGATAAACATTTAAGAGTAATAGTCATCAAACTCACACTGTTTGGCTACATTGTAGTGTATGCGGTTTGGTCATAAATCAATTAATAATTATTTTAAAAATCCTTCCTTACCAAAAGAAAATCTATATATTATTTTTGTCATCTTTGTTATTCTACTATTAATAGTTAAATGCATTGTATTAATTTTCGTCTTGCTTGTAAAAAAACATGTTAATGTTATATATGTAAATGTCAAAATAATTTATGTTCTATTCATCTGTATTGATCTCTGTTTTTCATGCTTACATATCAATAAACAATTATAATAAAAATTCGACAGTGACGATTTTTGGGGGTAAAAAAATATTATAAAAAGCCAGAGCAAACCCTTGCTCCTGGCTGTTCATTTCGTGCTCTGTATTTGCGCTATTCTTTTCGTGGTCCGCATTAAGTTGTGCGAACGTAGTAATCGTCGTTGTCGAAATTTTATGTGTTAATTTGTGAACTAAAAATCTGAACTTGTGTATTTTATTTATCATCTTCACCTATATCAACACTAAGGATAATTATAAGAACCAGAGAATTTACCAAGTAAGATTTTTTTACGTCGTTATTTTATGACTCTCGAATTACACCCCGAATCAAAAGTAACTCTCACTTACACATTTTTACACCGACAATAATAATCATTCTGTCCCCTTTTTTATTTCGTAATTTTATTTTGTATTTTATTTTTGAGTTACAACAAGTATAAAAATCATATTGTAAGACGGGGTGAATCGTTTGCAGCTAAAAAGTTTGAGAAAGAAAAAGCTTCAAACTGCAATAATTTTTGCAGTGCAATATTTGACTTACAAAGTGTTTTACAGATTCCTAGTTTTGATGTCTCTAGTTTGTACTACAGTAGAAAACTATGTACTTACAATTTAACTTTGTATAAGACTGCACCCCCAAATAATGTCTTTTGATTTTTATGGAATGAAGTAAACGGACAAAAAGGAAGTTCAGAAATCGGTACAGCTTTACTAAAATGGATCAAACAGCTGCCAGTAAATATAACTACTATTTCCCTATTTTCTGATACTTTCAGTGGTCAAAAAAGGAATCAATATATAGCAGCTTTATTCTTATACATTGTCACCCATTCAAAAATTGATGGTATTACACATAATTTTATGGAGAGTGGACATTATTTATTCATACATGGAAGTGGACAGTATGTATAACACAATTGACGCAGCAAAGAAAAATATTCCTATGTATACTATGCGTGGCTGGCTTAATATTTGTTGACTAGCTCGACCTATTAGAAGGTATAATAAAAAATGATCTAGATACACAGTTCAAGAATTGAAGTATACTGATTTTGTTGATTTGAAAAGTTTAGTAAGTTAAATAATAAAAAACCATACAACTGATACACAAGGTATGAAAGTGAATTAATTATAAATTAAGGTTTTAAATTATGAGAAAACTGAGCCTGGTGTTATACAGTTTAAATATAATTATTCAGATGAAGAGTTTAAAAGTATACTCGTAAGTGGAAGAGGTAGACCAACAAAATATCCTGATAACCTTAAACAATTATATGACTAGCCAAAACCAATTTCAACAAGAGAAAGATCTCATGAAATTTTGTAAGTCTGAAGACATTTCTGTAGAATTCCATGAGTAGTATCAAAGTATTCAGACATGTTCAAAACAAAAGGATACAGTGATAATTTCTGAGTCTGAAAATGAGTCTGATTAATATTTATTTTAAGACTGATTAAAATAAAATAAGGCACTGTAGTTATATAAAGAAATTGTCAATAAGTTATAATTTTTATATAGTTTCAAATTAAATATTATAAAAGTAATTTAATCTTTTTATTTAAAATTCTACATATTGCTCATTAGTATTATAATATTATAATTAATTAAGGTTTTTGATACACAACATTCTTGTAATTGATTAGAATTATGATAATTACTAAAAAATTTTGTTTATGTTTGTTATTTTAATGTATTTAAAGTAAAGGTATAAAAAATATTATGTTTTATTTTGATGTTTATAATTTTTTTTATTTAAAAGATGTTCAATTGTTTTTATGTCAATAAAAAAGTTTAATATTGAATTTATTTTAATTGTGAGGGTAATAATAAAGTTTGCTATGTTAAAAATTTAAATAAAATATTAACTTGATTGTTCTTATGTTATAGGAAAATATGTAATGACTAAATTAATCATAATATAATTTATTACAAGAGTATAAATACATTTATATGGTTAATTATAAAAGTGTAGAAGTGAAACATTGTCACATGGTCACTTTTTACTCTGAAGTTAAGTTGTAGATGTCAAACATTCAAACTAGTTTTTCTGAAAACTACAAAAAAACACTTGGTCACTTTTGGTATGATGGTAAAAGTGTCAGAATTTCTGGAGCACTTTCAAAAATTAAGTTGAAATAGTTTTTTTGTGAAAAAATTGTTATTTTAAATCTCCCCCTGTGGGCAGGTCTAGGGTCAAATTTATAAAAAAAATATACCAAATGATAGGTAAAGACATTAAGCATCTATTAAAAAAAATTATATTGATTTGGTTATTTTTAATAAAGTTATGGCAATATTAAGTAAAAAAAATTTCGAAAATTTCGAAAATTAGCGAATTTTTAATTTGTAATTTTTTTGGAGCTTTCCTCCATTTACGGGGAACGAAGGAATTTTTTTCAATTTTTGAGGGTAATGTCTTCGACTAGATACGATTTGTGATCTTATGACGTATCGTTGACAGAAATGGGTTCGGTGAGAGCTGAGAAAAAGTGGTAAAAGACACAAAAAAAAAAATAATAATAATAAACACATCTTAGTAAAACCAATACCTCCTCAGCTTCGCATTGAAGCTAATAACTCATCTAACAAGTTTTTACAAAGAAATAATCAATTTCAGAATAATTATAACGTTTCACGTTATAGAAGTCAATTTAAAAATAGTAATAGATTTAATAATAACTCCCCACGCTATAACAATAATCAATTTCAAAATAACTTTTCATAAAATTTAAAGTTAAAATTGTTTTTTATTATTGTAGAGTTATCATTTATATATTATATATATATATTTATACATTCCTCTTTCTAGTGATTTAAGTCCCTCTATAATGTCTATGTTGATCATGTTATCCGTCTTTAAATTATAAAAGCAATAACTACTTTATAATTTTTTATAATTTCTCCGTAATAATTACAATACTAAATTATTAAATATAAATATATGAATATATTTAATATCTATACTAAATATTTATTCATATATTACACTTATTAATCATAAAACTTGTAATCAGAATATACAGAGTGATTTTTTTATCATAACCCACTCAATTATTTACAGAATAATAATAATTTAAAATTTTTTTTTTATTACTATCTTTAGTTACACATTATTCTTGAATTATTAACTATGTAATATTTTTTAAATTCATCCCTTATGCCTGGTAAGGGTGTCAACTTTGTTTTTTTAAATGGTATTTTTAATTTAATAAAATGTTTGAGATTTTAATTCAATAGTAAATGGCATTTGAATTTTTAATGAAACTTAATTTGTTTATTAAATATAATAATTTAAAGTTTCAAATTTTTGAGTTAATATATAGGTATAATACACAAGGGATTACAAATACAGGTAGCTAATTGGTTTTTTATGATATTGCTATCACAGTTACGGATTGTTTATTATCAATTATGACTATCAATAGATATACTTTTTGTAATGTCAGTTAGTGTATTTATCATTGATCATAACAATGCTGTGTACCTGCTAATATCGATGTCATAAAAAATCAATTATTTGAATTAAAAATTCAAATGCCATTTACTATTGAATTAAATACTCAAACATTTTATTAAATTAAAAATACGTGTTACCATTTAAAAAAACAAAGTTGACACCCTTACCAGGCATAAGTGATGAATTTAAAAAATATTACTATTACATAGTTAATAATTCAAGAATAATGTGTAACTAAAGATAGTCATAAAAAAAAAATTTTAAATTCTTATTATTCTGTAAATAATTGATTGGGTTATGATAAAAAAATTATCCTGTATATAAGGAAATAGGATATCATTTGCTTTTGGAATAATCCACTAATTTTTTTTAATTAAACACTATCTACAGATTATGATAGTAATTTTAATCATTGTCAGATTAAATTTATACTGGACCCAATTATACCACGACCCCAATGTGCTGGTCTTTTTTTTACGGTAACAATAATAATAATAATGTGTGTAGTACATAAATTTAAAATGTTTTATTTAAACTGCGACATTCATTATTGTAACCACTATGAATGTTTTTCTGAAAATTTCTCGATGAATGTTGTTTTCCAGTTCTTTTCAAAATTTCTTTTAAATATCCCCTTTTAAAATCCGATGTTCCAACTCTAGTTATGAATTGTCATCCACATTATCTAATCCTTCCCATTTATCAAAACTTTTTGAGTATCTAGTCTTTCAGTCAATTAAATCCAGCACTAATAACTTTTTTATCATAACAACATGATTTCCAAATAATATTTTCAATTATTTTTGGAAATATTTTGTGTCTTATATTTTCTTACTATTAAAAAAATAATATTTCAATATTATTGCAGTATTATTCTGATTATTTTAAAACAATATTAAATTAGAATATTAGCTCTAATGCACTTTTAGAACAAATTAATATTTTTTTTTTTTATAACTGATTGATTTTTAATTTAAAATTTTACTTACATTCAGATAAAGAGACATTTCATGTATATGTGGTAGAGATTCTAGTAAGCGACTTAATGAATAATATTTCATATCTAATATATATATATCTTTTTTAAAAATATCTAGTTTAGACATTCTTATATCTATGTTCATCAACATAACTTTCATTGTGACAACAATATCAAAAATAAAAGTCTCTGATTTTAAGTGATCTATAATGACTCTATTTCCTTCCCTTGTAATCATTGGCAATGGAGCAAATACTCTATTAAAGTTAAAAAAAAAAAATTAATGATAACAGACACAATAATATTTAAATGAAATACATTTTAAACTTATTGAAATTAGTTAACTTGAAATGAATATTAATAAAAATTTTAATAATCAAAATATCTTCTAGGATTAAATTTTAAAATAACTTTTTGTTTTCTATTATAGTTTTATGCATAAAATATGTTTATTTATTTCCATCCTAGTTAAACTAAAATACAAAATTGGTGATTAACTACTAAGTGATGTTAAAAAAAATATAGGATTTCTTCCAAATAAATTATATTTTAATAATTATAGTGACATTCACCTATATTCGCTCAATTTAATTATGGCACTATTTTCAAGATCACTTTCGATGAAATACTTAGGACACAGAGCACGCAAAGTGTAATGATTGTCTAACATTTCTTTTGTTCTCTCTAAACTGTTTTTGCATCCAATCAAAAATGATTTTACTTTTCTTTTTTCATCTAAAATGTAGAAATAAAAATTTTTAGACATTTAAAAACGTTTAAAATTCCAATTTAGATTTTCTAAATATTTTCAAGTTTCGAACAAGAAAGCCTAATTTTCCAATTACACTTGTTCAAAAAATGATAAAAATGGTTTACATTTAAATTAAAATATTAATTATTTTATGAACATTAAGATTGTTAGTTATATTTTAGAGGAATTACTTGAAAGCTTTTCTTAGTTACATCAAAAAACTATTTGTATTTTTCATATTATAATCATTGACTGATATAACTTTATTTTTTGAAAAAAATTGAATTTTTTAAATATATTTAAAGTTTCAAAACAAAAAGTAGAAATATATACAGGGTGATTTTTTATGATAACCCACTTAATTACTTGCAGAATAATAATAATTTAAACATTTTTTTTTTTATTATCTTTAGTTACACAATATTCTTGAATTTTTAACTATGTAATTCTTTTTAAGTTCATCCCTTATGCCTTGGAGGGGGGTCAACTTTATTTTTTTAAATGGTAACACTTATTTTTAATTTAATAGTAAATGACATTTGAATTTATAATATAACTTAATTCGTTTATTAGATATAATCATTTAAAGTTTCAATTTTTTTAATTAATATACAGGTATAATACACAAGGGATTACAAATATAGGTAGCTAATTGGTTTTTTGTAACATCGATATTAACAGGTACACAGCATTGTTATTATCAATTGTAGTAAGGCACATTGTTATGAGTTTATAAATACACTAACTGACAATACAGAAAGTATATATATTGATAATCATAATTGATAATAAACAATCCGTGAATGAGACAGCAATGTCATAAAAATCCAATTAACTACCTGTATTTACAATCACATGTGTATTATACATGTATATTAACTCAAAATTTTGAAACTTTAAATGTTTATATCTAATAAGCTAATAAAGTTATATTAAAAATTCAAATGCCATTTACCATTAAATTAAAAACTCAAACATTTTATTAAGTTAAAAATATGTGTTACCATTTAAAAAAACAAAGTTGACCCCTTCCAAGGTATAAGGGATGAACTTAAAAAGTATTACATAGTTAAAAATTCAAGAATAATATGTAACTAAAGATAATAAAAAAAAAAAATGTTTAAATTATTATTATTCTGCAAGTAATTGAGTGGGTTATGATAAAAAAATCACCCTGTATATATTGCCATATAAAATACAAACAATTATTGTTTTAGACAAAAAAGTGAGAGTAAAATGTATCGGGTAGTTAATTAAATGTACAAATATATACATATATACAATTTATATTATACATTTATAAATCAATTTTGCAAGGGTAGTAGTACATAAAATTAAAAAAAAAACAAGTATTTTTTTTTTAGTATAGCTGTTTTTAAAATAATATTTGCCTATCAAAAAATTGAGATTAAAAATCGATAAATTTTGTACGTTACCATCTAGATTTGGCATGTGAGGCTGTTTTCGTACCCATTCCAGTAACAAATCTACATCTTTGTCAATTTTTTCCTCCGTAGTATTTATTTCGGCATAAATTTCTGCCACTTGTTTTGTTGTCGGTAGTGTTAAAAATTGTCCATATTTTGCATCCATTTTTAGAAAATGATCTTAAAGTTCTTTTTTTTATATTAAAAATGAAGATTGTATTATAAAGTTGGATATTTCTTAAAACCAATTATATTATTATATGCTACAAAAAAAAAAAATGTTTTTTAACAAATGAAACATTACAATCTTTAAACAAAAATAGTTGAATACTAGTTATATTTCCAGAAGTTTATTTTACTTTATTAAATACAATAAATGGTAACTATATAATTATAGAATGCTATAAAATAACTTAAAGACTTAAATTAGCATATATATTATAAAAATATTCATATTAATATCTATTATTAATTAATTTTTTTTTTTAATTAGCAATATTATGTGAGAATTGTGTATGATTAGATTACTACAAATGATTAAAAATACAGTATAGAGTGATCGCTAACTATGTCTCATTTAATATCTTTAAAAATTGACACAGTCCCTTTGCTTTGTGATACATGGAGACTCGCGACCCGTGTCACCTTTATTAACCGTAGCTCATCTACGAATACATGGAAGTTTTTCTGACTAACATCGATTAAGTTACGCCACTGTACAAAGTTCAGTTAGTACCGCACGTCCGTGACATCTTGACACGGCCCTATACGCATCGCCCAATTGACGCCATTGAAGCAACATCGCCGACCGAATAAACTTTTCATCGTTTTTTTATTTCTGTGCGACATTAATAATTATTAATTCCTGATCATAATTATATAAATGTTCTGTGCAATACACAGCTCAACGCCAATACTTAAACACTTAAAATAACCGTCTATCTTATTGTGTTTTGACCCTCCATTCACATCCGTATATCTTATGACAAACTACAAGTGTTATTTTTTATTGGAAAATATTTATTTAGATTTAAACTTACAAACTTAATAAAATTTTTTTTTGAATTTTGTATGTTTTTTAATNAAAAAATTTTTTTTGAATTTGGTATGTTTTTTAATCATGGAAAAAAATGTCGATTCAAATTTCTTTCCATCCCTCTTCAACAAATAAAGTCAATATGAAATTTTCTTTGTGCACATATTTATTTTAATTTCAATTTTACTCCGTTATTACTTTTCAAAAAATATACAATTAGCTGATTTTTTTATTTCAAAAACCTTACAAGGGAAGTACTTATACTTATACTTATTTTCATAAAAATTATGTGAATCTAATTTGCATAGAATATAATGTTTAATTTATTTTAGCCTTAATGCGACCTGTGAAGGAATTATTTATTTTTTTTTTTTTGACTGCTACCATTTTTTCTAAGCTCTCACTAAATTAATATCTTTAAATGATACGTTAAAAGATCACAAATCGTATTTAGTGGAAACATTACCCTTAAAAATTTTAAATATTTTTCTCATTCTCTTTAAATGGGAGAAATCCTCAAAATTATTATTATTAAAATCTGTACATTTAAAAATTTGTATTATTTTTTTCCGAAAACGGACATTACTTTTTGAAAAAGAAACGGAGTTTTTCTATACAAAAACCTGAAATATTTTCCTTTCATCTGACATAAATTTATTGAAAACCTTACTAACCTGACACATACATAATATATATGTATATATATATACAGGGTGATTTTTTTATCATAACCCACTGAATTACTTGCAGAATAATAATAATTTAAACATTTTTTTTTTTTATTATTTTTAGTTACACATTATTCTTGAATTTTTAACTATGTAATACTTTTTAAGTTCATCCCTTATGCCTTGGAGGGGGGTAAACTTTGTTTTTTTAAATGGTAACACATATTTTTAATTTAATAAAATGTTTGAGTTTTTAATTTAATAGTAAATGGCATTTGAATTTTTAATATAACTTTATTAGCTTATTAGATATAAACATTTAAAGTTTCAAAAT